TTTTTTTTTTAGAGAGCAGAGATGAGCTTTTTGGACCTTCTGATGAAACGCGTACTATAGATTATTGACGGGCAGGAATCCAAATCTGAGGTCGAATTTTAGGCTCCTTCTTCAATTGGTTCGAAAATGTGTTAATCAGATATTAGCTTTTTTATTTTAAGGCTTTTCGACCTTGTGATGAAACTTTACGATAGGTTATCGATAGCCAGAATTCTGAATCTGAGATCAGATTTTGGATCCGGCCTTCCCATTGGCTAGGAAGCCGAGCAATCAGAAATGAACCATTTAATTTGAAGGTTGTTCGGAGTTATGATGTAACTTCGTTGTAGGTTATCGAGCATCACGAATTTGAATCTGAGAGCAAATTTTCGATCCGACGTTTCATTGGGCAGAAAATGAATAAATGAAAAAGGAGCTTTTTTATTTCATATTTCAAGGCTTTTGTACGTTTTTTCCTCGACTGAAGGAGGATCACACAAAATAAAATGCATTTGTTTGCTTGATTGTAGGTCAAAGGTCATAAAAATATCGAGGGTTGAAGATCCAAGTCCGACCAAAGGTTTTTAGGGTAGAGGAATCCGAATATGTGCGTCTTCTTTCGAAATTTTTTTAGTTTCACTGTTTTTGCGTAAAGAAAGAATTTTTTGAGAAAATAACGATTTTTTATAAGGCTTAACCAAATGGAATCGGAATCGGAAAATTTGAATCGGAGATCGTTTTCTTAAAATTTTGAACTCGATTGTTTCCACTAAAACAAAGCTTTTGAGAAAAGAACGTTTTTTTTATAAGGCTTAACCGAAGATAATCGGGGCCGGTGAATCCGAATCTGAAGTCAGTTTCCAAAAATTTTGAACTCGATTTTCTTCACTAAAACAAAAATTTGTTGAGAAAATAACAATTCCTTATAAGGCTTAACTAAAAGTAGTTGGGGTCGGAGAATCCGAATCTCAAGTCAGTTTCTCAAAATTTTGAACTCGATTTTTTTAAGAAAGCAATTATTTTTTGGGAAAATAACGATTTTTCATAGTTGATAGGTAACAGAAAGTTAGATATTTAGCATGTTGCGTTACTGGCTGAAAAATATATAGAAATAATAGCAAAAATTTAAGATCAAGTTTACAAAGAAATTATGTTATAGAACTAACTCAGTTGGTATGAGGAGATGACTAAAATAATGTTGCAACAAGACTCTGTCAGTGTTTGCAGCAGAGTTTCAACTTAAGGTCAAAACAGTACTTTTGAAAATATTTTGCTACGATATCTTGTCAATATCTTGAACCTGATTTGCTGGGTTTGAAAAAAGATGTTTTGGGAAATAACGATTGAATATAAAGGTATACGAAAGGAAATCGGTTTTGGAGAGTTTGAATCTGTTGTCAGTTTTTCGAAACTTCGAGAATGTCGGTGAAGCTATTTGTCGAGAGTCTCGAAATAGGTCTTCTGGTTTTTAAGGACAGATTTGCATGTCTACCCATATGAACACAATCATCCATAAACGCCTACAATGGCTGCACAAGAAAGGCTTTCGTCGTCATTGGATTGTTTTCAATACTTTTTTCTATCGTTTTGCATTGTATATCGTCCCTTTAATTATTTCTAGATGGTAACAGAGAGCTGTCTATTGATGAAAGGCATGTAAATGTGGGAAGAACTAGATTTAGGATGAATGGGTTAGGAGCGCTTACGAGGAATATATGAATTACATCCGAAGTTCACTAGGAACGTTCTTTAGAAGAAATGTGCACCAACGGTCGCATAACTCCGTCAGAGTTTTGTTTAGATATCGAAAGTAAATATTCTCAGTAGATTCAATGCTCTCCTGAAAGTCAACGAGATCCAGAATACAACGAATCATTCACTACAAATTCTAGGTTTTAAAAACTTCCAATTGATAACTCTAGCGTAATAGGTGTAATAATTCATTATAATAATGCAAACTTCAATAGACTAGATTGTATGCAGAGGATGATCATATATAGAAATAGTAGATTTAAATATGGTAGCGGCTAACCGTGAGTGGCGCTTTGGAGGGGCGCTGATGAATGACCAGTCGCTCCACTGAGAGGTTCAGGAAAAGAACGCCTCTGATCATTCATATCCATGGAGAATATTGTTTACTGAGCGAATTTGACTGATTAAGACGTGTTTGAGAGGACAGAGAAATTAAAAAACTGATTCGGAACTGGTTGTGATATCTAATTTTCTCGCGAAAGGAGTACATCTTGTAAAAAGGTAGCCAAAAAGTATTGCTCAGTGTATTGATATTAAACAGTGTTGGATCCAATAAAATGCTTAGACATGTGGTATTCGTCAATAACCAAGTAATAATTTTGCAAAGCGGATTGAGGATTACCTGAATTTACAGATAATATCAGGTTACGTCCATGATCATTATGAAAAAACAACACTAAGTAAAAGAAAAAAGCAGTTAACAATGCTCTGAATTTGCTGCAGTTTATCTAAAGGGTGTGTCAAAGTTACTATGATGTAGTAAGGAACCCTTTATCAGAAATCAGAGTCACAGAATATACAGCAGTGCCGAAATGCTATGAACGGGATAAACGCTAATATTGCAGTTAATGAACACTAACTCCGATAACATTCCTCTACAAGAGCGATTCTGTGCGCTTCTGTTAGATGATTGATCTTGATCGCCGATTCGAATCGGATGCTTAGTCTTGAAGATTATAATTGTTTTCGATCAATCTTAAACTTCGCCACCATTCTCTTGAAGAAGTCAAAAAATAATTTATCGAAGTCTATCATCTTTATAGCAATTGAAAACGGGGTATCATCGCCGTTTATTTTCAAAACAAAATGGGGCGAAAAATAAATTTTTCAAAAAGTAAAAAGGTAAAATATCGGTCTTCAACCTGCCGATAGATTCTGTCAAACACATCTTCTCACTCCTCTTTTTATAAATGGCTAGTGAAATATGTATAATTCTGTCGAATGACTACAGATATGTCGGTTAAGAGGCGTAATGAACAGAATATGAATGTCGTACAACAACCAATAGAATTTAATTCTGATCAGATAACCGCACTCAAGCTGTAACTATAGGAGTTGGAAATATCGGTAGCTCTTGATAAAAATGAACATTTTTGAAGAAGGACGAGAGTGGTCAAAACTAATCTTGAGTAAATTTGAGCTTGAGCTTAACGCAATCGTATCATTTCGAAGGGGCTGACTTGGTCAGATACTCTTATGGTCTATTTTGGTGGGAATGATAAGTGAATTCAGAGTCTTTTGAGTTTGAACAAAAGTACTATAATAGAATGATGCTATGGGTGGTAGTGGTACTCCTAATTTTGATGAATGCATGTGGACTTGGAATATTTCAATGTTAATAGAATTTTATAAAATTTAGTGGGAAGCACAACTTACATTTGATTTATTGGTAATCTATTGTTTTCTCTGGAGCCGATGAAACGCTGATCAAAACAAATTTAGTTGATTTGGTTTTGACTGTGTGTATGGGCTACTTTAAAATTAAGAGCTTTAATTAGATTTCATCCCTTCCTATGCAATATGATAAAACCTTATCAAAGTGTAACTGCTACATTACTAAGCTTTACTATGATAAAAATGCAAAAAATTATAACAAAAATGAGACAAATATTTTTCTCTGGACTTTAAGAGATATCTTTTCCAGTGCAGTGATATGTGTTATTGTAGGAAAGTAACACAACAATAAAGAGTTACGAACAAAGACAGATGTAATAGATGACTTAGAATTAACGGTGTTGTTCCTGTGGGCAAAGATCTAACAGAAAAATGCGAAGGAAACAGAATTTGATGTGTTTAATAACCAGAAAAAAATCATCGATCGAGTAAATATGACAAAATGTAGATCAATTTTTCTGTTTCAGTGCAGAAATACTTTCATATATTTTTGAAAATAATCAAAGAGTACATAGAATGAGCCTTAGTTGCATATTAAATATTCAATACACTTCCATCGAAAGTATGTCGTACGAGAAAAAAATTGTTAGGCTTCTACAGACTGGTAAAATATTTTTTCGCAATGGTTCTATGGATCAAAGAAAAGTATACTGTTTATTTGTTCATTCAATTTGAACAGCAAGACTTTCAGAGTATTTTATGTACTGAACCATGATCTGTTACAACAAGTTTCCAGTGGAATGTGGAAAATCGTAAGAAAAGAATTTTTCAGTACTCAGATCGTGAGAGAAGGTTTTTCACACTTGTTAGTTCCATTTGCACTATTCCAACTAAAATATCAACCCAATAGCTTTATGTTGACTAATGATCTTGTTTTATTCACTACCGGTAGTTGATAGTAAGAATTTGTTTATGAAGTGCATGCTCATGAATCTTGTTTAGTATCGCTGAAAAGTTGTCGGAACAAGTGAATGAGGTACTACTATAAACTAGAACTGACATATATAGAGCATTGAGCGATCAGTAGTGGTGATCTGTAGGATCATCGACGACTGAATACGAGCTGTTATTTATGCTTCGATTAAGAAAGTTTTAAGAAAGAGAGACAAGTGTAATACTAGCACAAAATGGTCGCCACTGACTATATGACGAATATGTTTTTTGTTAGCACATTCGGGATCAGCAACCGATCTCCGAAGTGAATTTGGCAAGCATTGGTAGAAAATTACTAAACCTATCTACATATTAGAAAACCTTTCCTCAATAGAAGACCCCTTATCGAGAACGCTATGAAATTTATAATAGACGACCTGGATTTTTTATTGTCTATGAGGGATGAAATTACAGTGGACAGAAGAAGGAGCCAGGAGCAATCCATACAATTGATATAGCTAGGACCTCGATGATTTATCTACTTATGCTTCGCACTTAGTGTTTGTTACCTGTGCTTATCTAGCCTCGTTTACTCATAAGACTTCTGAGAAATAGACTTTTTACTGATTCTGTTAACAAAACTCTTTGCTCTCCCTCAGATCACGTTGACAGTTGACTGTCGAATTTCGATTTAAAACTTAGCAAAACTAGTGCTCTCTATGAGACTAGTGCACTCAAAAAGCTTCGGCTTTCCTCGTTGCATTGACTGTGACACATGAATATAAGCACAAAATTTGCTCACATCTGCAACAGAATTTCCAATAGGTGTATCTCGCGGCAAAAGCAACGGAAAAGTTGGAACTTGCAGTATGAATATATCCCTTTGAGAATATTATTCCCTCGACTGAAGGGAGGGTCATATGAAATAAAATGAGTTTGTCTGTCTGTCTGTGGCAGATCAAAGGTTAATCTTAAGCTACTACAAAGGTTCAACAACAGGTAATCGAGGTTGGAGAATCCGAGTTCGTTATCGGGTTTTTGCAATTTTGAGCTTGATCTTTTGGGTCAAGGAAAGAGTTTCTTACGAAAATATTGATTTTTTATAAAGTTTGACCAAAGATAATTGAGATCGGGAAATTCGAATGTATGATTAGTGTTTAAAAATTCTGAGTATGTATGTTTCGGTTGTGAGTATCACTGTGGGTATGGGTAGAGTTGTTTATGCGGTTCAAGAGATACTTTTATGTCTACCCATTTGCATATTGTGGCAAACAATGCGTCGTAATACCTACGCCGGCGACTACAGTTGCATCAATGCCAATTTCATTCAATTCCAAACCAAGAGCTGGAATTGGAATTGAAGATGCACTGATCTGAAAAAAGTATAATCGAATTATTAGTTTATGTAAATATGTGCAAAATTAGTATTTTTATAACAGTCAACTCCAATTCTAACTCCAGTCAATTGTCAGAATTGGAATTTGTGGAAATTGGAATTGGTGAATCCCTGCTAGCGACACATTCATTCTCACAAGGTTTTTCTACTGTGTTTATCCGATCGTTTTGTTTTCGATAGCACATCTCCACATGGGATAGATACGTGACTGTTGCATCCGGATGGAACGTTGACGAGAAATAGGCGCTCATATCAGAGGTTCCCTAGAGATGTGCTGCAGGAGAGATGTCTATGGAAAGTAGCATGGTTTTCTGAAAGTTTCGTCTGAGTGTCTTATAAAAAGGACTTCAGATATATTTGGAATTTTCTTGAATGCCCGCGAGATTAAGGGATCAAAGATTCGTTCACTACAAAATATGGTGTTTGGTGATTTCGGATTCATCATTGTCATATTCTGAACTGCACAATTTTTTATAATAAAGAAAACTTCGGTCGGCTAGGTTTTGGATGAATAATAGTGATCTCTCAGAATAATGGGTTTAAAGAAAGCAGCAGCTAGTCGTGAGTGACGCCCTGTATAGGTGCTGACGAACGGCTAGCAGCTGCACGGATAGGTTCGGACAAAATACACTTCTAGTCGCTCTTATTCATAGAAAAGCTGTTAGCGCAATCCCTTGCGGGATTAAAAATGTGAAACACGATGGATCTGTTGTTACTAATTAAATGGAAATCGTTTTGTTCCATTTCTTTGCAATACATTTGCAGCTAACCTTTTATCTGATGCTTTAGAACTACAGTTTCTTTGTCACGGTCTGTGATGGGTCCAAAGCCTGTCTGTCACGGTCTGTGGGGGGAGGGGGGGTCCAAATTTCTACCCCTAAACACTTCAACACTCCTTTCAGATCGTGTTTCACAAAAAGTTTTCTACTGGGCGAGAGTGATAAGTTAAGACACTGTTTAAGAGCAGCAAACAGTGAAAAAACGTTATTACAGACTGACATGTGAGCCTTGTCTTTCCGAAAAATTAACAGATTTGGTGAAATACTCGGAAGAAATTATTGCTAAATGTTTTGATATTAAACCAGCTGTTGAAACGGTGAAAAGCACAAAACTTTCATAGTTAAAAATACGAGTTGATACTTGCGAAAATTGGATTTAAGACGACATGAACGCGAAGAGAGTATAAGATCTTGTACGCGATTATTATAAAAACGAGTAGTAAACACATACAAGCAACGTTATCAAATCTCTGAATTCTTCTTACGGTGTCTATAGTTAAATATGCAGTTTCTCCGCTTCAGCTAAAACATTCTTCGTGTCTACCATAATTTTGTCATGAACATTTTACTCCGAATAGAAATCACAAAATATACGCTAGTGTCATAGTGCTATGGACAAGTTAAACATCAATCTCTCAGCTAATAGGTAGTAGCCGAAATAATATTTCATTATAAGTATGATGCTGTGCGTATCTGAGGTAAAATGATACATCTTAACTTTTAATTAGGAATTAGTTATTCAGTCTTGGGAATCATTATTTTTTATGATTTATGTTAAACTTCACTAGTATATGCTTGAAGAATGACTAACGAAACGATTTATCGGGGTTTATTATTTTTACGTTGGATGAAAACGATGTGCAGTCCTCCTTTTTCCAATAAAAAACGAGCTGAAAAAATAATTCGAAAACAGTGAAACGGGAAATAACGATCATTAGTTACTTTTAGATTGTCTCACGCGCAACACTTTGAGCGTGGTTCTATTAATAGTAAGCAAAATGTATATGAGTCTGAATTGCCACAAACGTTCCAGTTGATAGACACAATCAAGCAAACATAAACTTCGTAGAACGATAGAGGTTTCAACAAAATGACAGAAAAGTCCGATCAGAAATGCAAAATAATCGTCATTGGCGATGGTATGAACGGCTTTTTTCATCTGTGTGTTTATGCTCCGCAAGACTTTTCAGAATTCAAGCGACCTAGCTATGGCTAAAACAGATAAAGTGCAATTCAGTCGAGGGTTAAGCGAGTCGTGAAGACAAGCGCTACTTGTTCATTAAGGGTAACTAGTAAGTGTTTCAGTTAATGTCACCGTAGCCTTTTTAAACTGTAAGACAGAGTCAGTACAAAAAATACTCTATAAGATGGGTTCGATTTAACCATTTCCAAAGAACTTAATGTCTTTTGTGCTCGACTACCCACAGAACCATCAGGAAGACAACATTTTAGATTATTTTCATTGAATAACAAAAACAACTTTCATTACAAGATTGTGTCAAAATCGAAGAACTTACATCGGCGAAGCATTGACAATACTACCTCCGAACGAAGCAACGTTGCGTATTTGCGTCGATGCGAAGTGTTTCAGTTGATCAATTAGAGCTTCACAAATACCGCCATCATTGTTCACTTCTTTCTTCCATTCATGTAATTTTGATTGTAAGTGTGTGAATGTAATACCAGCACCAATGATAAATGAATTCGGTGTTCTTTTTAATTGTTGTAATTCATCAATATGTGTTATTGAAATAAGACGATGATGTTGGATGCGTTTAAATTTTCTTTCAATTTGAACAGCAGTATTTCCGAAGATGAGCTTCGATGCACTACCAGGATAAGAATGACGAAGAGAAAGTAATTCGTCGAGTGAAATCGGGCGATACCATTCGAGCATAGAACCTATTCACAAAATTTATAAGAATCATGTAAAATCTGTCAGTATTATTGATAAATAGATGATAAATACTATCGTGAAATAGTTACCTTTAATATGAATCGACTGCGGATTATATTCCCGTAATTTCTGGGGGAATTCGATTCGAAACGGTGGCGATGATACATTTTTACTCAAGTACGAAATACATTTCTCAAATGTCGTCGATGTGATTTTCGATGTTGGTGATTCTTGAATTGCAATGTATTTATCAACATCTCTTGCAAATGTTTTAGCCGCATCGAGTATAGATCGATAGCCGGTACATCGGCATATGTGTCCATCGAATGCTTCCTCAATATCTTGCATTGTCGGTGATTCACTGTTGTCATCCATTGCTACAGTCTCATATAGAGACATAACAATACCCGGGGTACAGAAGCCGCATTGCGTACCAAACATTCCGGCTAGGCGAGATTGAACTGGATGAATATTTGACTTTTTCACTGAACCCAAACCTTCTACGGTGATTACATGACATCCATCCACAGAACACAACGGTGCTAAACATGCATTCGTCGTATAATGTTCAATTTTACCAGAGCATCGATCAGTACAGCGTGAAATGAGGACTGTGCAAGCTCCACATCCACCTGCACCACAGCCCAACTTGGAACCAGTAAGATTCAACTCTATTTAAAGAATGCATAACGTGATAAAAACTAGCGAGAAATGTTTAGTTCATTCAAAGTGTCTTATAATTTATCTACTGTTATCCATGGAGTGTTGAAACGCATTAAAATAGAACTTACTATTTCTCAGGTACCACAAAAGAGTCCAATCAGGTTCAGCATTTGATTCGATTATCTCATTTCCGTTAACATAAAATAGCAGAGAGTTTGGACGATTTTGTACTAACTCTTTCATGACTTTTTTCTTCAAAATCAATTCAACATACCCGCATATAAATGCTTTTTTATCTCATTCCTTCGACGCAATCCGAAGATAACAAGTCATGATATTGCACTTGAAGAGAAGAATAAGCCAAAAAAACGTTTATACTGAATAGGTAAAACTGATGTTATCATTTGCGACCGGCAAACAGACAACTATTACTGAAGTGTTACATTCATTTTAGTAAGAACGACAATCTAAAGACAGAAATTCAAGAAAGTTGTATTGTTTCTAAGATAATTGAAGCAAATAACAAGTTAAACATAAAATATATATCTACTATTTTCAATTTTTCAAATAAGTTTTTTAACGAGTAATCTCTCGTACGAGTGTCTTCGAATAGGATCTAGAATTGAGAACCATTTTCCAGCAACTAGTATTCTTGACTTTGGTTTACAAGGTATTGAATGCATTGGCAAAGCTTTTCTCAGATTTACATGAAAGACACTTTTAAGAGAGTGTTCATCAGATGGCCGACTTTCAACGTAGAGGATCGGCCGAAGTCGAATGTCTCGTATTCGATGTGCATATTTCAAAAGAAAGTCCGTGATCTGCAGCTATTTGAGAGAATAAGGGTTGTTTATTCAGCGGCACCCAATCTCACCCTTACTCGTGCCTGAGGACAAACACTATACACATGCTAATTACCAACGAAAACAATGAATATTTTTCTAAACAGCGAAAGAATAATAGAATTCGATTGTGATGTTACATAGAAAGCAACCACAATGCGTTGTTAAACATACACCGACATATGTTTCCTGCGATCCATTCATTTGCTTGATGAATAGGTAAATTGGCATTGAAAAGAAGCATTGATCTGACGAAGAGACGAAATTTTTATGCTGACTACAAGATCAAGAGACATCAAAAGATATTTGAATATTTTCAAATAGTAGATTGGCGATTCAATGTTAACAAATTCCTGGCTACGTCACTATTAGGCATGGAGTCAACCCGTTGAAGAACTGTTGATCATACCTAGAGGTACAATAAGTGGCCTGTTAACATCTTTGCCGAAATAGTTCTGTAATAAAATGATGGTACGAATTTCTTCCTTTATCACACGTTGTTGAACTCATTGACTTATTTACCAGAATATTTAAATAATAGTGTTCATCGAATGTGTTCTGGGTGTGGGTGTGGAGTGTGGGGTGTGGCTGTGGGTATGAGGTGTGGGGTGTGGGTGTGGGTGTGGGGTGTAGGGTGTAGGGTGTGGGTGTGGAGTGTGGGGTGTGGAGTGTGGAGTGTGGGTTGTGGGTGTGGGTGTGGGATGTGGGGTGTGGGTGTGAGTGTGGGACTGGGTGTGGATGTGAATAGCTGTTCCTGAACAGAGGACCCACACTCACACCCACACCTCACATCCACACCCTACACCCACACCCATCCCACACCCACGCAACCATACCCACGCCCACACTCACACCCACACCCACACCCATCCACACCCACACCCATCCACACCCCACACCCACACCCTCGAAATTCTTTCTTCTAGCTATGAGCATGTTTCATCGTACCATATTTTCAGTCAATATTAGACTTACCTACCGTAAACATCGATTGTGTTCGTCTTGTTCTATTGTTGCTCAATGATAAATAATACGAATGCTGTGCACGATTTTGAAAGGCTTCTAGTTATTTATTGACAATACCAAACATGTGTCGACTTTGTAAATGACAACAATCATGTCTCAGACTCTTATTAAATTTATTGGCTTTCAAAAATTCAACCTTCTCATAATGTAAGCTCAGTAGTACAGTGTTATATTTAGTTGTGATTAAAAGACGTATTTCACGCTGTTCCTCCTTTGAAAATGCTTCTTTGGCACCTTTCATTTTAGTAGTTGCTGTATATTTGTCATCTGCCAAGCATATCTTAGTCTGAAAACTAAGGACTACTACTATTTGAATAATGTGACAGAAGCAACAAGTAAATTTGCAGTCGTCTGCAGCAATTTAAACGGATCCATTGTACGCTTCAATTATCGAGAAAAAACTATGTATAGGGAACAGTCACAGACAACCGTATGTACAGTATCAGACATACGAAAACCCAAGGGGAAAAAAGCGGATACTGGATCCTCGGATCCTAATGGATCCCGATGGATTCTGCTAGATCCTAATGAATATTTCTGAGACCGTATTAACTTCCAATTTCTCTTCCTTGGCTTGGATAGGTATCGATTGAGATCGGATGCTGTTAAGTCTTTTATTTTTCGATGGTGTCTGTTTTTTTTTCATTATTATTTTCTTTACAAGATAGATTCTTGGAATTGTTAGCATCTTGTAGAAATTTCTAAAAGATTTTATTGTTGCCGAGCGAAAACCTAAAACACGTTAGGTAACAAGTAAGGCTCGTCCGAGGACTCGCTCAACTCTTTCTTGTAGAAGAACTGCTTTCAGATGTTAGATTTTTAATACGTTATTATGTATTTAAGTTTATTTCTACCTAAATTAGATACTTTTACATAAAAAACAGCAGGTATTTATACCAAATGCTAGATAAAGGATTAGATATTTCAAATAACTATTTTTCTCCACCAATAAGATATATATATATATATATATATATAACTACCATCAGATTCGAGTTCCTCGACCCCGCTTACCTTTCGGTCAACCCTT